ACAAACTCAAAAACAAAAAGAGGCAGGCAAATGAATAAAATCTAGCTGTCGTGCTCTTTCATTTCCAAACTTTTGATAGAGACATAATACAAGAAAATTTTATTCTTTACCATAAGAACAATTGTAGCACAAGTAAAACGAGGAAAGGAGGCAACTGGCACTTGTCCCCATTGCTAACAGTGGTTCACATTGCAGAGGAAGGAAAAACTTATTGGAGACCTATTTAAACCTTCTGAATTTTGTTAACATATGCAATGATTATTTAATTAAAAAAACCAAACTTTCAAAAGGTATACTACTCTCTTTTCTCATCATAAAGACAAAATATTTTAGGCTTTGCAAGCCATTAAGGTCTCTGTCCCAAATGCTTAATCTACTATAGCCTGAAAGCAGCAAAAGTCAACCTGTAAATAAATGGACATGACTATTTCAATAAAATGTTATTTACAAAAACAGACTGCAGGCCAAATGTACCAATCTCTGCTTCAGGCTGTTTCTTGATCAAATATTAAGAAATTAAAAAAAAAATCAGTGACAAAAATACATATCTCAAGCTGTTTTTCCTAGAAGATCGTTTTCCCTTCAGATCACACGAACAAGGAAAACGCACAAACCTCAAATGCTTGAAAGTTGAATTAAATAAAATTCTTATAAATTTATTTATTTATTTATGGCTGTGTTGGGTCTTCGTTGCTGCACACAGGCTTTCTCTAGATGCGGCGAGCGGGGGCTACTCTTCATTGCGCTGCGCGGGCTTCTCATTGCAGTGGCTTCTCTTGTGGAGCACCGGCTCTAGGCGCGCGGACTCAGTAGTTGTGGCTCACGGGCTCTAGAGCGCAGGCTCAGTAGTTGTGGCACACAGGCTTAGTTGCTCCGCCGCACGTGGGGTCTTCCTGGAGCAGGGCTTGAACCCGTGTCCCCTGCATTGGCAGGCGGATTCTTAACCACTGCGCCACCAGGTTAAGTCCTAAATATAATTCTTAATCTAACCTGTATATATTCCACGTTTCAACTGAAATATTTTAATGTCTCTTACCTAATCACACAACCGCTTTCCCCACTTACTACAGGCTCAGTGGACTTCTGAAACACTTTTTTTTTTTAATCTAATGTGAGTATCCTTTATTAAGCTTAGAAAAAAAGGACTTTTTTCCTAAAGATAATCTGCTGGGAAAAACTCACAATGAGAAAAAACTATTTTAGAGTCAAAAACGCTTTCTCTTTCTTTTTTTTTTATCAACTACAACATATTTACATACATTCGAAAAATAGAAGATGTATACAAGACAATGTGTAAAGACATTTAGTGAACACATGGATTCATTAGATGAACCAAGGGCCAAAGACTGGGAAACCACTATTACTTGCCACATTTCCTGGTACCAGGCACCTCAAGATTAATAGAAAAGTCCTGTATTTTATTATTTTTTATTTTTTTTTAAAGTCCTGTATTTTAAAGCTGGTTGTTAGAACATATTCCACAGTGAAAAAAACCAACTAGAATAAGAATTAAATGGGAGTCATACAAACACAATATAACAAAATTCAGAATCTAATAAAGTACAATGTACTCTGGCATTAAAACTATGCACATTCTTACTTTTTTTCTAAGTTCTGCGCTCAATTCAATATTTTTGATTGATCTGTTTGGTAGCAGAGAATAAAAGCAATGAATAAGGTTAGAATGCTATACATAGGATGAGATCCTTTCCTTTTTACCGACTTCCTGCAAATAAGTACAGAACAAAGACCAACTTATTTTTAAATCTAAGAGCTTCCTGTAAGAACAGAAAATTTATAAATTGCTTGAGATTGGGAGAAAAAAAGGAAAAGCCAAAACTTTGATCCTAACATTTTCTCTAGGATAGGGGACCCCAATCCCTGGGTCGTAGACTGGTACTGGTCCCCAGCTTGTTAGGAACCTGGCCACACAGCAGGAGGGCAGCCTTACCGCCTGAACCATCGCCTCCCCACCCCACCCCCGCCCGTGGAAAAACTGTCTTCCATGGAACCAGTCCCTGGTGCCAGAAAGGTTGGAGACCGCTGCTCTAGGATACCCAAGCCTCCAAGGTTCTACTCAGTGAATTCCACCACACAAAACAGTTTCAAAACAAACATTCTGTTATTAAATGGTCATTAGGATTAAATCAGTCAACAATCCATATCAATATATACAATTCTACTTAAAAATCTGAAACACCTCTTATGGAAAGTTATTTCAATAGGTTTTCCTCCCTTTGAATAATCAATTCGACTATAAAGTAAATTTTCACAGAGCTAACTTGTTTTTCATTTTCACCATAGAATCAAACTGTAGAAAAATCCAACTTTCAAAGTACCTGTACAGCTGACCCTTGAACAGCAGGGGTTTGAACTACACAATGGTAAATACTACAGCACTACACGATCTGCAGTTGGTTGAATCCTCAGATGTGGAACCACAGATATGGATGAACATAGAATTTGGAGGGCTGACTATAAGCTACATGCAGATTTTCTAGTATTAGGAGGGTTGGCGCCCCAACCCCGAGTTGTTCAAGGGTCAGTTGTACTCCAGAAGTTTACGTTGGTTGTCTGAAATCCTCACTTCACTTTCCTATAAAAAAAACTGAAGTCCTTAGGCTGCAAAAGCTAAAATATGCCCAAAAGTGTATCTGCAAAGAAAATTTACACAAAGTAAATGCTACTATAACACTCATAATTTAAAAATAATAGTAATAATAAATTTTATAGGATCTAAATACTGATATTCAAGGAACAGGAATCAAGATTAATTAGAAAAAGGTGTGAAATATTAAAATTTAAAAAAATAATTCCAAATACTTTCACAGGTTTCAGAGTTTGATGGCAGTGGTTTTTTATTAGGGGAAGCAGATGTGTCTAACTTCACTTTGAAATCTAGTTTTCATTCCCACAGGTGTGTCATTTGTAGTGCCCTTCCACAGAGTAGCTATAGAAACTCAAACAGATACAAAACAAGCTTTTCCAATGTTATACAGGGAAGACCTGGAGGATAAAGGAAAGAATAAAGGATTAAATAACTGATTGTGAATATGAGACTGCTCAGCAATTAACTGAGCTGTATATGTGAAATGAGGAAGGATAAAAAGATGGGGAGGAGGCTGCAAACAAGGACTGCACAAAAATTACACAGTAAGGATAAAACAGTGATAAAAAGGAAGGGCAGTGGGCTACAGGTTATCATCTGTATGAAGCATTTTCAAGCTGTATATTAACGTAGGTGATGCTCCATCTTCCACTGCTACAAATCTCAATACAGAAGATCAAAAACTTTTGTTAGAAAGAATCCAAGGCATTCTGAATTTCATGTATTGCCAAAAAATTAAGAGCGTGAACTGTGGAGCCAAATTACTTGGGTTGAAATCCCAGTTCTGCAACTTACTAGTTGTGTGACCTTTTTCTGTCATGAGTATGCTCATCTGTAAAATGGGGGATAAAAATAGAATTCTTCTCAATGGACTAAGAATTAAATGAGTTCTATGAAGAGCCTGGAACTGTGCTGCCTGACACACAACAGTACTACTGCGTGCAAAAAAATTTGCAATTACTTTTATTAACGCACTCACTGGTCAAGCTTTTTGTAGTACTTTCCCGACTTTCAAAACTTCACACCTGTACAGGTCTAAGGGTCCCAATTACAAGGTCTCAACACTCAAACACAGTTCTCTTTTCCCGCTGGGTGAATGATATTTTAGATAAGAGAAATTTATTCAAAGATTTTAGGGAGTATTTTGATGGTACAAATCATGAAACAAACTAGTACAACAAAGACTAACCTTGAGAAGGCTGATGCCCATGCAGAAAAACTAAATGACACCAGTCATAAAACAAGCCTTTCTTCATTTCAGTGAGAAAACAGGCTTCTCCTTAGGGAGGACAAAATATTGGTGCCAGAAATACTTTGCTTTCAAGTTACCAAAACAACCCTGACAGTTGAGAATGTTTGGAAGACCACCTGATCTTCAGATTGATTGTCAACCACTACACAAACAGAAATTTTTGGAGTCGTGACAAGCATCAATTAAAAGACAAACAACTGGACTTCCCTGGTGGCGCAGTGGTTAAGAAGCCACCTGCCAATGCAGGGGACATGGGTTTGAGCCCTGGTCTGGGAAGATCCCACATGTCGCAGGACAACTAAGCCCATGCACCAAAACTACGGAGCCTGCACTCTGGAGCCTGAGAGCCACAACTACTGAGCCCACACGCCACAACTACTGAAGCCCGCGTGCCTAGAGCCCGTTCTCCACAACAAGAGAAGCCACTGCAAGAAGCCCGCGCAGCGCAATGAAGAGTAGCCCGCGCTCACCACAACTAGAGAAAGCCCGTGTGCAGCAACGAAGACCCAACGCAGCCAAAGGAAAAAAAAAAAAAAGACCAAACACCTTGCCTTTGAAATAATGTATCAAGTTTGATAAATTTCAGTACAGCTTCCTCTACTCTAATCAAATTCAGAGCCTAGGTCTATTTCCTTGTGTTCCTCCTTTCCAACTATACTGAAAAAACTACATGGCTCCATCAAGTTAGTTATGCTCAGTACCCTAAGTAAATTCAGGTCACAAGAATAAGCTTCTGTTCTACATTATGAATAATAAGTTATCTCACTTTTAAAAAATTAAACAAGAACATAAAGGAGACACCATCTGAGATAGAATAATTATATGAGTGTAGTATGTCCTTTTATTTTGGATATCACTTTTCTCTTTTCTTCTCAGCTCTACATAGACTTAAGAAAGCTGGAGAAGTATAGACTAAAGCAAAACTGACCTTAACCTTTTCAATGGGATTTCATTTTCCACCAAATCAATGATTTTTTTCAATCACAACAGCAGAAGAAAATATTTCCCAGATAGTAAATATATTCATGAGGTCATTAAGGGCATAGCTGCTTAATGATTATTATGACTATTTAAATTTCTCAGTTTCTTTAAAAAAAAAGGGGGGGTAAACTGAGGAATACTCAGAATCCCCTGCCTATCATGGAACCTACTACACGTTGCCACTTGTCAGAGGTATGGGAGTGGAGCTGAGAAAAAAAGGGAAGACTTTAAAAAATATCTCTCATTAAATGATTACATTTTCTCCAAATTTTCTACAATAATCCCTTCTTCCCACACAGAGGAATCTAGGTACTGAAAAAACCAGCAAGGGAACCAGGAGTACCCCTTCATATACTTAAAAAGTTACTTGAGGGCTTCCCTGGTGGCGCAGTTGTTGAGAGTCCACCTGCCGATGCAGGGGACACGGGTTCGTGCCCTGGTCTGGGAAGATCCCACATGCCGCGGAGCGGCTGGGCCCGTGAGCCATGGCCGCTGAGCCTGCGCGTCTGGAGCTTGCGCTCCGCAAAAGGAGAGGCCACAACAATGGTAGGATCGCGTACCGCAAAAAAAAAAAAAAAAAAAAAAGTTACTTGAAATCAACTTATCATTTCCAATACCCTGACTTATTTAAATATGATCTGCTCTATTCAAACTCCACAAAACTGAAATGATAAGACTAAGATATAATGAAGGACTTTGACATTTTCATTCATATTTTTTATGATAGCAGGACCAATCCTTTTTCCTGGGCTTAGGAACGAGAGCAAGAAAAAATACAACTCTTTTCTAAGTATATGAGTAAAATCTTTGGGAAAATCAAAGTATCTTTTGGCTTTTGTGACTGCATTCAGGTTTCTATGAATTTACCATCCACTTTACTTTTTTTTGGCTGTATTGGGTCTTTGTTGCTGCGCATGGGATTTCTCTAGTTGTGGCAAGCAGGGGCTACTCTGTTGCGGTGCACAGGCTTCTGATGCGGTGGCTTCTCTTGTTTCAGAGCACAGGCTCTAGGCGCGCAGGCTTCAGTAGTTGCAGCACGTGGGCTCAGCAGTTGTGGCACATGGGCTTAGTTGTTCCGCGTCATGTGGGATCTTCCCAGACCAGGGATGGAACCTGTGTCCCATGCACTGGCAGGCAGATTCTTAACCACTGCACCACCGGAGAAGTCCCTACCATACACTTTAAACACATTCAATGCTCAATATTTGGATTTTATGAGACAGCTCGTTATTTCCATTAACCAGAAGAAAATATATGGAGAACTGTGGACTAAAGCACTATGACACCTTTATTCCCACCCATCTCCTTAAAGGGCATGTGAATAATCAAAGCTAACAGATTTTATGGTACTGCTTATGAGAGCAAAAAGGAGAGAAGAGTTATAGCACTTAGAACTCTTCTTACAAAACTGTCGAGAAAACAGAACTATGTGGAAAAGCACGAACTATAAAGCAAGCTCAACAGAAATGCCATAGCCCTGTACTGTTTACTGAGGACAACAACCTCTTAAGAATTTCAGGGCCCAATCTAAAGCGACTTCAATAAACACTAGACCAACAAAAGATCAAAGTGAAGAAGTAAGCTTAACATTAGGAAAATTCTACATCGAGACTGGAAAACTGACTGGTTTGACTTTTCGATTTACTTTCAGTCAGAAAAAGTCCTTCTAAAAAACGTCAGGAAAAAGGTCCTTACCAAAGGTTAACTAAAGTCAGTCACTCACAATTGCGAGATTTGAAGTCCATACCACTCAAATTCAGGCAAAAATTCACAACACAGCAGGAAGGGGGGGAACACCCTGTCTTAAAAAAAAAAAAAAGAGAAAGAAAACCACTCTGTTAATTCCACCCAGTTAACTGGTTGCCTCAATAGAAGAAAATAAAATTTTAGTTAGACCACATTGCTGATAGGGTTGTCTGTGAATGCCTGAATGCTAAGTGAGCCAGACGTACAGATTCATGTGTCAACAACACGTGACCAGTCCTGTACCTTACGTTTTTATAACACTACTGATATAGAAGATAGATATTTCACACAAACATACCCTTTCATAGTTAATTTTACATTTTTAGATTCTTTTTCTATTTTCATTTGAAGGGGCAATCGTGGCATCGGACAATTCTAGAGATCTGTGGAGAGTATATTATTCTCTCTTTGAGGTAGTATAAAAAGAGATCTTAGATCAACAAACGAGAAATAAAAAGCCTGTTAACTCAAAATAACCGGTCCACATCAAACTATGGGATATTCTACCACTTCACAGTTTCTCAATTCATAGGGAGAGAAAGGTGGTCGAGTTCAATAAGTTAGCGATTTCACAGTCTAAAGTAAATACGTACAGAATTTTCCGTTTCAAAGGGCAGTTTCTGCTTTCTTTTTAAAATCATCAGTAGATCACAATGGGGCCTCAGTTAATCTAGACATCTCTTGGTTACTTCAAAAGTACCGGGAAAAAAAATGCAAGGAAGGTCTTGCCCTCCTACTGCCCACCGTCTCGCGAAGACGCCGCGAGTCCTTAAGGGAAGCAGCTTCATTTTGGCAATGCGGGCGCCAGACGGGGCCAGGGCGCCGCCTGGGAGACCCGCGGCCGGAAACGCCCCCGCGAGTGGCAAGCCCCGCCGCCCCTGCCCCAAGCACCGGCCGGAGGCAGAGCCGCAGAGGGGCCGGCGCCGGGGGTGGAGGGAGGCGCCAGCCGCCCGCGCCCCTCCCCCGCCCGCAGCGGAAGCGTCTCCGGTTTGAAAGATGCCGCCGCCGCCCCCAGCCCGCCGAGCCACAAAGGGCCGAGCCCCCTCCCGCCGCGGCCCTCCTCCCCCAAGTCCTCCACAGGTCGTCCCCGGGTACCCCCGCCCGGCGCTGGCGACGCCTGCTCACCCGAGTCCCTCAGTCCCGAGGATTGGGATCCGATGCGGCCGGTGGCCACGAAGACACTGGGCCCCTCACGCGCGGCGGCGGGGGCGTGGCCCTGCTGCCGCGACTAGGGCCGGGGTCTCGCTTCTGCTTCCCTCCGAGGAAGGCTGGCGCCGCCGCCTCCCCTTCCTTCCGGTTTCCCCTCGCGCCCTCCCTCGGCCGGTCCGTCCTGAGCGGAAAGCAGCGTCCTCTCTGGGCGCAGCTGCACTCTCCACAAGGCCCGACCACCGCCAGACTCCTCCCACGGGAGCCGCGCAGCCTGCCCGCGCCGCCTCGTCAGCCCCGGGGCCGCGAAACGCCCGGCTAGCCGCTCCCGCCCCGCCCCTGCGGCGCGCTCTCGCCCCCTTGGCGGGCCCCTTCTGAGGCCCGGGAACGCGCGGACAGCGGACCGTGGGCCAGCCTTCGCCAGGTTTCCTTTTCCGCTGCTCGCCCGCGTCTAGCGGCACAAACGTCAATTTTGCAGTTTCCCGGGTTCTTGAGACGCCCCCCCCACCCACCCCGCCCGCCCTTACCCTCGGTTCCCCCGCCCTTTTCCTTTGCCGGATCCCACCGGAAAGCCAAAACAATTGGGTCCGCGCAGGCGCGTGGAGGAAGAGCCGGAAGGGCGGGGAAGGCGCGAGGTGAAGGGGAAACGCTTTTGAAGGGGTTTTCTGGAGAAGGTCAGCGGAGATCTCGCGTAGGGCGCGTGCGCGGCGGAGGGGTCGCCCCCGAGACGCCCGGGCCTGGGACGCCAGGGTGTTCGGGCGGTGAAGGCTTCAGGCCTAGCCCGGCGAAAAGGGAGGCGGGAGAAATTCAGTGCTAGGAAATGCGGACAGCAGGGCACCAGGTTTTATGCCATAGAGTGTGCCATAGAGTGATTTTTCCCTCTTGAAATACAGAAATTTGCAGGCTGAGTCGGGGAGTGGAAATGAGGAGGACTAGACAACACAGGACCAGGGAAGAAAGGGAGATGGTGGGCGGCTGGCTGAGTGGGCTTTGTCTCCTCCACCCCTGCTCTCCAAAACACGCTCTGCACGTATCAAAGCACTCTCCGTTTTCTTGATCTTATCAAGAGAGACTTCATGTCCTGGTCTCTAGGCCAAGGAAAAACTCGAAGCAGCACCTGAAAGAGCCCGCAGTTCTGGGGAAGCTCTGCACGGGAAGCCTTGAGCTAGTTTGTGCTGCGATGCAGCGGCTCCCCGCTCCCCGCAGTAAGTTCCCAAGAAGAGCCTTCCGCTTCACAAAGCAAAGCCTTTGTAGCAGCTGTAGGCTGTGGCCCACACTGGTGCGGTTAACTTGGTACGGCTTGCGAGCCTGCAGGAAGTCGTAGATTTACTCTCTCGTTTGATAGTAATTCACAGATCGAAAATTGTCAGAAATGCCCATATAGGCTTCTTCACCCACCTTTGTAACTTCCTTTCTTGGCACAAGCCCAGTCTGGAGGATGTACGTGACCAGTTATAAACTAAATGCGTACACGTTACTGAAGAGCCTCTTTCTTTAGGCCAGATTAAATCAACTGAATACACACCAAGATGTGTATATCTGGGACTACTGATAAAGGATTTTACAGTAGAATCCAGAAACTAGATTAACTCAGCAAATCTTTATTGACTATCCAGGATGCCATCACGCTGCTTAGTCTGATTAAATGTTTACGTGTTTTGATATTTAACAACAAGGAAGCCATACAGGAGATTCAGTCATTTAACAAATACCTGAGCTCCTACTCTGAGCCAGACTGGATCCTGGAGATGCAAAGCCTAAACAAGAAGGCAGAAACAACAAAAGAAGGAGTTTGTCTTTCCTCCTCTAGAGGACTGAGAGCCATTTAAGATTTTTAAGGAGAAGAGTATCTTATAAGGTTTTAGAAAAATAATTCTGAAGCATGGTGGATATTGGACTGGATGTGGGGATACTATCTAATTAGGGGGCTGTAAAAATAGTCCAGACAGGAGGTGGAGAGAGAGTCCAAACTAACGTAGTGGCAGCGAAGATACTGAAGCAGAGGTGGACTTGAAACTAGCTAGATATAATAAACAAGACTTGGTTACTAAGAGGATGAGGGAAAATAAGTGAAGGATGACTGAGTTTTCCAGTTAGGGTGACTAGATAGTAATAGCAGTAACTATAGGAAGAGTAGCTAATAGTGAGGATGAAAGAGAGTACTAAAAAGGTGTCATTTTAATAGCTGCACAGTTAGGAATGCATATGGCTGCGAATTAAAAAACATTATATTGCAATGGCTTAAAGAAGCGTCTCTTTATAGTCACCTAAGTCTGCAGGTAGTTGGTTATCGTTCGTTCAACAGCTCAAGAACAGGAGAGCCACAATTTCTGTGATTCTCCTGACATTTCTCACATGGTTGCAAGGTGGTTGCAGCAGTTTTACTCTTTACACCCCGTTGTTCAAGGCAGGAGGATAGGGAAAGGAGTGGCTTCAGCCACCTTTTTCTTTTTCTTTTTTTCCAGGAAAGTAAAAGCTTTCTCAGGATAATACTCCATACCCTCAACTCAGCTGACTCTCACATACATCTGATTTTCTAGAACTGTCTTTCAGCCACCTATAGCTGTGAGGACTTAGTTTTTCCAAGCTCTAGCAAAAGGCTATTTGGGTCAGACAAATAGCAGTCTGCTACTTGGTTAATACTTAAAGCATCACTTTTTAACATTTAAAACACTGTGGGCTGGTAGCCTGGATTGAAGTTTCTAGAGTTTCAAAGAAGCCAATCTTTTTGGTGTTTTATCTTAACTGGGAAAAGAACAGGTTGAAAATGTATCCTCAAATATTTGTAATTGTTTACCATTCCTTCTCTCCTCAAAGTTGCCATCCCCTTAAAAATCCTCAGAGGGAACTGGAACAATCAGGAAGAAGCACCTGCTGCAGTCAGAGGAGGCTGACTCCTTGCAACTGCTGTGGTAGAACAACTATAGGGTGCTTGGCATTATGAGCATCAATACCACCTTGACTTCTTTACAGATTTCACCTCTTAGCTTGGAAGCGGAACAATCACAGCTAGTTAGAGGGTCCAGTTTAGGGAGATCATAAATCAGTATTTTCTAGCTATTATACTGTTTTTTTTTACAATGTAAAGTAGCTCCCATGTGATCTATATCCAAAATTAGGCACATGACATTGTTTTAAGCATTCCTCTTTAGTTAATAAGGCATTTTCTTTCAATTAAGTGCCAATGGCCATGAAACAATCCTTCTAAGACTTCATTTTAAACATTGTCATGATTCTAGAAAGAAAACAGAAATTATTTCCTGGGAAAATAAAGAGGCAACTACACATTTTCTAAAGTTGAATCTTTGCTTAACCATTTCTGATGTTACACATCATAATCATTTAAGATATTAAGATAATCTAAAATATTCTTAATGTTAATTTTAACGTATTTAAAAACCTTGGATTTGGGGGAGGAAGTTACCAGGCCATCTGTGAGGGGGGACAGTGCACAATCCACAGTTGATTGAATCTGCAGGTGTGGAATTGCAGACAGGGAGGGCCCACTATAAAGTACAGGTACTTAGAGAAGGGTCAGTGCCCCTAACCCTCATGTTGTTCAAGGGTCAACTGTATACCCTCTGTATTATATACAGAGAAAATCTAGTTAAAATGGACATCATTATTACCGGGTAGCACAAGGGAGTTCTTTATAGGAACAGAACATTTCTGTATCTTGATTCTGGTATAGTTATAAACATATACATATGATAAAGTTTAATAGAACTACATATAACACCTACCAAAAAATAAGTGCATATAAAAGGTGATGAAATCTGAGTAAGGCCTATAGTCTAATTAATTGCACTGTGCCAATGTCAGTCTCCTAGTTTTGATAATGTACTATAGTTATATAAGACGTTACCACTGTAGGAAGTTGGGTGATGGGTACACAAGGAACTCTCTGTACTATTTCTGCAACTTCTGAGTCTATAATTATTTCAAGATAAGAAGTTTTAGAAAGTGGATATCATTTATTCAACAAAGATTTGCTTTAGTACCCTAGGATACAGAGATAAAAGACTCACAGAGGAATAGGAATGTTGGAGGAAAAGACCCAAGCAAATCAACAGTAGGATAAATTCTGTGAAAGCAATATGTACACTGGTGTTATAAGAGTACATAAGAAAAACAAGAAGCTCAAGAAAGTTTTTTCAGAAAAAGTGGAGCAGGGTAGGCAGAAAAAGAAGGGGACCAGCAGAGGAACATAGCAGGGATCAAGGATAGAGGTTCAAACAAATGAGCTGGTGGGTTTCACTATTAAGTTTTCATTGTACACAGTATTTTTAACTCACAGCCCTTCTGATGGTTATAATTAAATGTTTTTATAATGTAAGCTCCATGAATGCAGAAACCCCTTTCATATCTTGTTGACTCTCCAATGCTTTACACAGTGAGTGTCTAGGCACTCATAAATATTTGTTGGGTGAACAAGGTCATTAGCCATGACTAGAACATGGAGAATTTGTGGGGGAATGACAGGGTATCTGGAGAGGAAAGCAAGAGGTAGATACAGATCATGAAGCTGCTTATAGGTTAAGTTTGGACTCTATCCTAAAGTTAATGGGGACCTAGCAGTGGAATCAGTTTTGTGTTGTAGAAAGACAGTATGAAGAGTAAATAGTAGAGTAGAAGCAAAAAGTAGCAGTGTTCCAAAAAGTCAAAATGCAACCTGAGTAGTTTGTGTGTTAGCAGAGGAAAGCAAGCTAGGCTGTTAGTAACTGCAGGTCTCACTCAAGGGATAGTATGTCTACCAGCCTCTGAGTGTCTGAGGTCTTTGTTGTACACCAATAATAATAAAAACAAAACAAAATCTAACTCTTGGTGAGTACTTATTATGTACTAGGCACTTTATATCAACTCATTTAATCCTTACAACAACTATATGAGTTTGCTGCTATTGTCCCCACTTTACAGTTGAAGTGACTAAGGCACAAAGAAGTTAAGTAACTCACTCTAGATCACACTACTAATAAATTAGCAGAGCCAGGATTAAAATCTAGGCTGCCTGGCTCCAGTGTCTATGATTTTAACTACTCTGTTTTACTGCTTTCTTTTCTCCTAGCCAACTGCTTCCGTGTATCAC